TATATATTTGAAAGTAGTCTTTACTTTAATAGTATCTACGACTCTATAAAAATAAAGTTGTGTAAACATCTAGTAAAATATTTTTCCATGATAAATATCATTAAAGAATTAATTACTTAAAATTGATCATAGATTACTCTATTCTTTCTAACATTGTAAAATATCGAAAATTGGACTATGTCAATTTACTGAAAGATTGCTCTTTTTATATCAAGTCACAGATATGACTGATTTATACAAAATCATCATAATTCTTCAAAGAAAAACTAACCGTATGAACTTCATTTTAGAATTCATATACGTTTTAACAAACAAATGAAAATTATAAATCACAATGCAAAATTTTTCCAAACAAATCTTTTATACTATTAAAATATTAATGATAAAATACAAAATAAGATTTCGAATATTTTATCTTGAAGTATTTCAAAATTTCATTTTTTATTTTGATTTCATTTCTATGAAAAATCTCTCTCTAATTTTTTCAAATTAATTCAATGTATTTTAATCAAGAATTTCTATACTTACAATTTCTTTGCAATTCAAAACATACATCTTCTGCATCCTTTTGTGATAAACAATAGACAATTCCTTTTCAAAAAAACAAAAACAAAATAATAATAAATTTTAAATAGTCTAAGAAAAAAATATTTTCTTGAATTTTTACCTGATTGTTTATCAAATCGATGTTGAATACAATGTACAAGTTCAGTAAAAGCATCTTTTCCAACATCTGATTTATGTAATACTTCATAAAAAAGATTTTTTCGATTAAATGGTGCTCGAAATAAAATACAATGTGGAATTTTCAATATTTGTCGTACATCATTCATAACTTTTGTCGTAGCTGTTGCTGTTAAACCTAATATTGACACATTTGGAAATTGTCGTTTAAATATTGATAAATATTTATAATCTAAGAAAAACAAAACGTATTTTTGTTTTGTTATTATTTCATTTAATAAAGTTATTTTTAGTTTTGATTAAACCTGGTCGAAAATCATGTCCATATTGTGAAACACAATGAACTTCATCAACAATTAATCTTGTAAATCTGTTTGTTTCATAAAGCTTTTGTAATTTTGCCATTATTATTTTACTTTTAGCAATTTTTTCTAAAAAGAAAGAAACGAAATTTTCTTTTTTGTAAATTTATTCGTAAAACTACTTCCTCAATTTTCGTCAAAAGCATGAAAATTGAGATAAATACATGGAAAGGTTGTTCGAAGTTTAATCTTTCATAAATGACTAGATTTTTTATTTGACACTTCATTTTTTCTAAAAATTTCTGTCATTTTCTGCTTGAAAAATATGTTTTTTTTTTTGATCGCATATCCCAAAACTCTCGAACAAGTTTCATTGTAGCCAATAGTTTTTTTTGTTTGTTTGAAAGATCATGTCAAGAAGAAGGACATAAAATAGAACCCTTTTTTTTTTTTTGAGGTAAGCTTTTTTTACTATAATATAAAAGAGTATCTTTATAAGTGGAGAGGCATTTTTTAAGACATTGAACTCTTCCCTTCTTAACAGGTAAGAATTTGAAAAAAACAAGGTTTTGTCGTACTGTGTATCCTCATATACTCTTTCAAACAAGAAAAAATTAATGAAAATCCCACAGAAAATTTCGCGTTGCCAAATAAGGTATTTTTGATCTTGGTTTGTTGAATATCCAACGAAAACATCATATTATAGAGCTGAAAATTTTACTATGGCCTTTCCACTATAGTCCTAATATATCGATTTGAATGTACCTGGACCAAAATCAATTTTTGAGGGAAATGGAGGCCCTTCATTTTTTTCATATACCTGGTGTTAAATAAAGAATTTTTAATGTTGAAGCTGTTGTATTTCGTCCATCAAGTATACGCATGATTTCTGCTTGTTGATCACGTGGTGTCGATGTATTTAATGAACGTGCATCAATATTTAAATTTCGTAATGCATATACTTGATCTTCAACAAGAGATATTAATGGTGATACAACAATTGTTATACCTATGAAGATTTAATATTTTAAAAAATAAGGAAAAAACATAAAAATTTTTTTTTTTTGTTACCATCAGATATGACAGCTGGTAATTGATAACATAATGATTTTCCACCACCAGTTGGCATGATTAATATACAATCATGACCAGATAATGTAACATTAATAGTTTCAAGTTGCCATTGACGAAAGGAATTTATTTTAAATATTTCTGTACGAACTTTATCTACATTCAAACTCCATGGAAAATCTAAAGACATGTGAATGAATAAGAAAATTTAAATATGAAATTCTGTTATTTTATTTACCTGTTCGTTGCCATTTTTCAACTGAATTAATATTAAATGTTGATTGTTGATTTGGTTTCATAGAATCTCTTAATTTTTGTTGTCGTTCAACTAATTGATAACGTTTATGACGAAGACGATTGATTTCTGCATCGATTTCCGATATTTCTAATTCAATAGCGATTAATTCATCAGTTTCATTAGTCGTAATAATTGAAGAACTAAAAAAAAACAAAAGAAACTTAATTATGAATAAAAACAAATAAATATCTTTTGTTTTTAAATTTCTACTTTTGATTTTGTTCGAATTGTTCAATAGCATTAATAAGTTCAAGATTATCTACTTCATCATCCTCGTCGTCTGAAACCACTACATAATCCATTTATAGATAGAATAAGACTGTATTTCAATCGGATGGATCGATGGAATAAGTATTAAAGAAAATTTATTTTTTTTTATGGATAAGTCGTGAACCAATAGAAATAGTTCAAATTACAATACATCTGGAAAGAGGTTCTACAAATAATGAATGTGTTTATTGGAAAAAAAATGTGGCGGGAAGACATTCCAATGAATTGATATTCAAAAGATGAATATGAAATAGATGATATGTTGTCAAATCTTGAACGACTCACACTTTGTTTAGCAGATTCTGCTACAGCTATGCACTCTGATTCATGGTTTTGAAGTAATGAGTTCTATCTGATAATTTCAGGATTAAAAAAATTCCAAATTTAGTTTACAATTGAATGACATATTTCTTATTAAGAAGCAGCTTTTTGTAAACATATGTTTTATACTGAAAACCATTGATTTGTGCTACTCTCTATTATTTTTACTGAAGTGGTTCTGGACGGAACGACAAGAATATATCGATAACTGTAATAGAGATATGATAATGATTCTTCTTTTTCAATTTTCGACTATATCGTGTCAAAAATATATTGCATTTAGTCATTACTCCAAGGTTTCATAATATAGATGTCGTTGGTGGAAAGCGCAACTACGAATAACCGCAAGAAAGAAAACGTCTTTCAATCCCTGTGATAGTATACTAAGAAGACAAATTAATATTTGTTTTGTGTTTGTTGATTTATATGTGAATCAACCAGACTATTAGGCACGATTATACAATATTCAGAAGTTACAGAGAAAGACTATTTCATTATAAGATCATTTGATCTTAATAGTAAGCTTTAAAATTGATTATAGTAATACTTTCAAATATTTTTCGATTGAAGTGTTATAAGTAACAATCGATTCCTATTGTGTATTTCAAATACGACGTTTTTTTGTATAGTTTTAAGATTTCATCAATAGAATAAATAAAGAAGTAAAAAGACATGAATATAGGAAAATTTATTGAGTCAACACAGCAAGACTTCCGTTAATGATGCCTTTGATAATCGATGAAATCTCTAGGATAAGAAAGTTAATCTGGATATTCTGTCATTTGATCTATACATAGAAGTACTAGCCCGATAGCCTAATCAGACATTATAAAGAATGAAAAGTTCTGCTTTTACGAGAGTTTATAGTAATCGTAAGCAAAAAAACGAATCTTATACATTCCACAAATTTAAGCAGATGATTTAAGTTTTAAAAAGCCAATGTATATTTTGTTCGATTTTCTCAATGATAAAAATCAAATGTTTCTTGTTTTGTTCTATCAAAATTTAATTTTGTAAAACATACAAGGACCTTCTTAATTGAATGAAACATAGAAGGAAAAGTCGATTAATTTCATCTTTCTGATTATTAGTTATCCGAGTAATAGATACATGATAATTTTTGTTCATCAACAAACGTAATTTGAAAGGGTTTCTTATCATTTATTGAATAAAAATTATTTCAATTTGACAATTAAATTTGCATTTCAAAGGTGTATATTTTCATTGAAATAATAAAAACAGATGAACTCTACTTCATAGCACCGTTAATTCAAATAAAAAATAACACCCAAAAGTTTATCGTATTAAACACAATAATTAAAAAAGAAAGAAATCATACAGTATACAACTTACAAAAGAAAAAGAACATATATAATGAGATTTTCATTTCAGATTCAAACTTTATACAGAATAGAAAAAAAAACCTATGTATCAAAAACAAAAGCAAAAAGGTTAGATGTAATTGATAGTAAATATTTCAAAATTTTATTTTTTATGCATATCGAATTGAATTAAATTCGATGGCCAATAACGATTTATATATGACATTTGTCGATTATGTTTATGATGAGGATGAGGATTATCATCTAATGTTGTATCATATCGTTTTTTCTTTTTATTTGTAGTTAAATTAGGATTTGATGTTTCAAGCATTGGTTGTAATATACGACGACGTGCATTTATAAACCAATTATTAACTTGTAATAA